TAGTTAGTTAGTTAGTTAGTTAGTTAGTTAGTTAGTTTAGTTAGTTAGTTAGTGTTTATCGAGTTCGGCCTACGCTAACCTAAATAACAAACACCTATAAATCGATAAACCTACTATAAGTTTTGAAAAGATAACTTTAAACCCAATAACAGATCACTTCTCTAAATAGTCAAAGTCCATTTTTCAAACACAAATCTTTTCCCGTAGAAAGCAAAAGTAAACAAATCTAAATTTTTTATGTGTTAGTGGAGCGACGTAACAAATTTTGAATTTGTCTAACTAATTAATAGTGAAATTGTTAACAAAAACAACAACAAGAAATTGTCATACACCAAAATAAAAAAATTAATTAAAATTTCTTTTACAACAGCAACATCTCTAATTTTATCACTACTGCACCACCATTGTTATATCATCGATTTGTTTTCGAATAAAGTTTGTTTTTAAATAATGACTAAATATTTAAAATATTTATGAATGAATTAAATTATTAACATTTTTCTTATTATGATTTGCATACGGTTTTTTACGCTCAACTTTAGTAGTTTCTTATCTAAATTCAAATTTAAATTTCTAACGATTAACATTTTTTCTCTTTCATTTAAAATTTCTTTATTATGAAATGATAATTAAGTGTAATAAAAAAGTGTGGGATTGTTTGTTTATAACTTAGACTAGTTGTCAAACAGGGTTACAGATGTTGCAATAACTAGATGAAAAAAAACTAGAGACTTAAATTAATTGTAGATTTAAATAAAGAGTTTTATATTCTGCTATGCAAACTCCTGGGACTGTGCAAAGTATAGAGCGATCCTCTTCATCGGTGTCTCATGAGGTATATACACGTTTTCCAGATTGACTTGCGATTGTCAGGCGTATCTTGACGAGATGGCGAACGATTCATACCTAGAACAGTTTTGGGTAAAGGGTCACTCAAATGAGGTCTCCAAGCTGGACGGTACTACGTAGGCTATACACTAGACTATCGACTAGACTATAGACTAGACTAGACTATAGACTAGACTATCGACTAGACTATGGACTAGACTATAGACTAGACTATAGACTGGACTATAGACTAGACTATAGACTAGACTATAGACTAGACTATAGACTAGACTATAGACTAGACTATAGACTAGACTATAGACTAGACTATAGATTAGACTATAGACTAGATATAGACTAGACTATAGACTAGACAATAGACTAGACTATAGACTAGACTATAGACTAGACTATAGACTAGACTATAGACTAGACTATAGACTAGACTATAGACTAGACTATAGACTAGACTATAGACTAGACTATAGACTAGACTATAGACTAGACTATAGACTAGACTATAGACTAGACTATAGACTAGACTATAGACTAGACTATAGACTAGACTATAGACTAGACTATAGACTAGACTATAGACTAGACTATAGACTAGACTATAGACTAGACTAGACTAGACTATAGACTAGACTAGACTATAGACTAGACTAGACTATAGACTAGACTAGACTATAGACTAGACTATAGACTAGACTATAGACTAGACTATAGACTAGACTATAGACTAGACTTTAGACTAGACTATAGACTAGACTATAGACTAGACTATAGACTAGACTTTAGACTAGACTATAGACTAGACTATAGACTTGACCATAGACTAGACTATAGACTAGACTATAGACTAGACTATAGACTAGACTATAGACTAGACTATAGACTAGACTATAGACTAGACTATAGACTAGACTATAGACTAGACTATAGACTAGACTATAGACTAGACTATAGACTAGACTATTGACTAGACTATAGACTAGACTATAGACTAGACTATAGACTAGACTATAGACTAGACTATAGACTAGACTATAGACTAGACTATAGACTAGACTATAGACTAGAATATGACTAATAGCTAGACTAGACTAGACATGGACTAACTGACTATAGGACTAGCTAGATATAGACTAGACTATAGACTAGACTATAGACTAAGACTATAGAATACTATAGACTAGACTATAGACTAGACTATAGACTAGACTATAGACTATACTAGAACTACTATAGACTATACTATAGACTAGACTATAGACTAGACTATAGACTAGACTATAGACTAGACTATAGACTAACTATAGACCTAGACTATAGACAGACTATAGACTAGACTATAGACTAGACTATAGACTAGACTATAGACTAGACTATAGACTAGACTATAGACTAGACTATATACTAGACTATAGACTAGACTGACTAGACTATAGACTAGCTATAGACTAGACTATAGACTAGACTATGACTAGACTAGAGACTAGACCTATAGACTAGACTATAGACTAGACTATAGACTAGACTATAGACAGACTATAGACTAGACTATAGAGCTAGCTATAGAGCTAGACTATTAGAGAGGCTATAGACCTAGACATATTAGACTATGATACTAGACTATAGACTAGACTATAGACTAGACTATAGACTAGACTATAGACTAGACTATAGACTAGACTATAGACTAGACTATAGACTAGACTATAGACTAGACTATAGACTAGACTATAGACCTAGACTATAGACTAGACTATAGACTAGACTATAGACTAGACTATAGACTAGACTATAGACTAGACTATAGACTAGACTATAGACTAGACTATAGACTAGACTATAGACTAACTATAGACTAGACTATAGACTAGACTATAGACTAGACTATAGACTAGACTATAGACTAGACTATAGACTAGACTATAGACTAGACTATAGACTAGACTATAGACTAGACTATAGACTAGACTATAGACTAGACTATAGACTAGACTATAGACTAGACTATAGACTAGACTATAGACTAGACTAGACTAGACTAGACTAGACTATAGACTAGACTATAGACTAGACTAAGACTAGACTATAGACTAGACTATAGACTAGACTATAGACTAGACTATAGACTAGACTATAGACTAGACTATAGACTAGACTATAGACTAGACTATAGACTAGACTACAGACTAGACTATAGACTAGACTATAGACTAGACTAATGGACTAGACAATGGACTAGACTATAGACTAGACTATAGACTAGACTATAAGACTAGACTATAGACTAGACTATATACTAGACTATATACTAGACTATAGACTAGACTATGGACTAGACTATAGACTAGACTATAGACTAGACTATAGACTAGACTATAGACTAGACTATAGACTAGACTATAGACTAGACTAGACTATAGACTAGACTATAGACTAGACTATTGACTAGACTATAGACTAGACTATAGACTAGACTATAGACTAGACTATAGACTAGACTATAGACTAGACTATAGACTAGACTATAGACTAGACTATAGACTAGACTGTAGACTAGACTATAGACTAGACTAGACTAGACTAGACTATAGACTAGACTATAGACTAGACTAGACTAGACTATAGACTATAGACTATAGACTATAGACTATAGACTATAGACTATAGACTATAGACTATAGACTATAGACTATAGACTATAGACTAGACTAGACTAGACTATAGACTAGACTATAGACTAGACTAGACTAGACTAGACTATAGTCTAGACTATAGACTAGACTATAGACGAGACTATAGACGAGACTATAGACTAGACTATAGACTAGACTATAGACTAAACTATAGACTAGACTATAGACTAGACTATAGACTAGACTATAGACTAGACTATAGACTAGACTATAGACTAGACTATAGACTAGACTATAGACTAGACTATAGACTAGACTATAGACTAGACTATAGACTAGACTATAGACTAGACTATAGACTAGACTATAGACTAGACTATAGACTAGACTATAGACTAGACTATAGACTAGACTATAGACTAGACTATAGACTAGACTATAGACTAGACTATAGACTAGACTATAGACTAGACTATAGACTAGACTATAGACTAGACTATAGACTAGACTATAGACTAGACTATAGACTAGACTATAGACTAGACTATAGACTAGACTATAGACTAGACTATAGACTAGACTATGACTAGATAGACTATAGACTAGACTATAGACTAGACTATGGACTAGACTAGACTATAGACTAGACTATAGACTAGACTGTAGACTAGACTATAGACTAGACTATAGACTAGACTATAGACTAGACTATAGACTAGACTATAGACTAGACTACACTATAGACTAGACTATAGACTAGACTAGACTATAGACTAGACTAGACTATAGACTAGACTATAGACTAGACTATAGACTAGACTATAGACTAGACTATAGACTAGACTATAGACTAGACTATAGACTAGACTATAGACTAGACTATAGACTAGACTATAGACTAGACTATAGACTAGACTATAGACTAGACTATAGACTAGACTATAGACTAGACTATAGACTAGACTATAGGCTAGACTATAGACTATACTATAAACTAGACTATAGACTAGACTATAGACTAGACTATAGGCTAGACTATAGACTAGACTATAGACTAGACTATAGACTAGACTATAGACTAGACTATAGGCTAGACTATAGACTAGACTATAGACTAGACTATAGGCTAGACTATAGACTAGACTAGACTAGACTATAGACTAGACTATAGACTAGACTATAGACTAGACTACAGTCTAGACTACAGACTAGACCGTGTTATAGGGTAACACAATAGGACTAGTTCATGATCCCAAGTGAGTCGAACTTTGTTTGACTTTCTTTTTCAATTTTCAAATCGAAATACATACATATATCTTCAATATGTATATTTCGGCACACATATTTTACTAAAATATTCTATTAAGTATTTTGCATTATACATTTTATTGTTTGCTATTTTATCGTGTAATCATTAAATATGTACTTTAAAACATTAATATTATAATTATTAACTTTCAAATACAAATGACTTTGCACTTTTTTTTTAAATCATGCTAAAATATAATTTTCATTTCGTTTCAGTTGTCAAAATTGTGTAAAAATAATATTGATGATGTCACTACTACTGCTGCACGAATTGGATGTTTCATACGAAAATTCGAATCGAGAATAATAATTTTCACAATTTTCTTTCTAATTGGATTATTGTTTTAATATAATAAAATAACATACTGTGATAGATTATACAGCATTTTCGAATGTAAAAATTTGTATTTTTATTGGAAAATTTTGTTTGAATTTTAATTCATTTGAAAGCAGCAACAATTTTAAAGGGTCTAACCAAAAAATTTAGGGGCTGATGAAAAATATGAAGGCTTTAAAAGATCTTGTACATCCGGTAAAGAAGGAATTTCGTCGTGAGAAATGTGGTTTCGAACATACACCACCAGATGATTTTGTTAAATCGCAAGTAAGTATTATATATGTGAAAATTTTCAGATCCTTATTGGGCGGATCATGATTTAAAACTATTCATAAATAAAACTATTTTATTTCAATTAGCTTTTAAATTATTAAACATTTCAAAATATCAATGTACTAACTAAATTAGTTCAAGGTAACTAACTTAGAATACTTCAATTAGTTATTCATATATAATTTAGAAAATTAAGAACTTATTAAAATTGTACCCAATACAAATCCAAATAATAACTTTAATAGTTGAAGGTTATTTGACAGTGTGATTCTAAATGTAATCGAATACCAAATCATAAGTATTGAAAACCCCAACGACCGCAAAACATGTGTTTTAAATCACAAAGTTAAAAAAACTTAAAAAAAGTTAAACAAACATTAGAAATGGTGCGTCCATTATTTGGGTCAATGTCCAAATGTTTTGGAATATACTTATACCCCATACTTTTCATATTACCTAACCTTCTGTTTAAAAGAAATTCGAAGTAAAAACACGCACAGCTTTGTTATTGGTTTTCTTTAAAACAACCTTCAAAATCAAAACCCCCAAAAATTGTGGGAGGCTTTTAACGAGTTAAAAGAATTCATGTCAATCGGTCACCTTGGGAATTTAAGGGAGAACTTTAGAACTTTTTTTGCTTTATATAAGAATTTTCATATCAACATCATTAAAGATGCAGCAATTGACTTTCTTTGTGGGAAAATTTAGGTCATTGTTCTTCTGTTTTATATTATGAAAAAGAGGTATTACTACTAAAAAGGGGTATTTGTTTCAACCTTGATAGAAATGATGATATAGACCACGTAGTTTTTAAAAAACAAAAGGATATTGATCTTAGAAAATCATATTTCCTTGGCGACTGTGAGAGGCTTTCATCAACCTAAAAGCTTTATGCTTGTTGAAATAAATTTCTGAAGACCCGTGATATCACTGAGATAATATATTTCTAAACATGTTTTCGAGAACAGTTTGAAATCAGCAAAAATTTAAGTTATAATAAATAGACGAGTCTGGGTGGTTGAGTTCTGAATTTGGGTGCCACAAGAGACGCGGTCCCCAAAGATGGATACATCGGATATTTTTAAGACGAATCCTATACAATTAGAAACGATCCTATAAAATTAACCTTATCAATTATATCTTATAATTTAGGAGGTTTAACTTTTCAAAAAGTAACTATGTATAGTTAGGCATGACCGACCAGGAAGTATATGTGAATAATTGAACTTAAACTCATTTTCTGAAGAGGACTTTATATGCGAAAATAGGCAGCATTATTTAGACTTATATACAACAAAGTTGTTCCGAAATTTGTAGATATATAGTACTAGAACATTTAACGTAATTATAAACTCAAAGTGCCCATTCGAGATATACAGTTGTATGAGGGCTAAGATTTAAGAGATTTCAGCAGGCTTCATTCTTGGGTCAAGGAAAGCGTATGTGTCAATTTTCATCAAATTATGTTTACATGGACATATAGACGGACATAGCTTACCCGCTGAATTCGAATCTGGAGAAGATATCTTGAAGAAGCCTTTATTTTAAATGTGACAGAATAGACTTTCAGATGGCATACAAATTAAGTTGTCTGGGAACTTTTATAACGTCTCAACAAGTAAGAGTGCTATATTCGGCTATATATTTACAAACCATACTCTTGTCGAGTTTTACTCTGACTTCGATATTTTTAGTGAACTAAATTCGTTTAAATGATTTTTTATGGTCCGTTCCGGAAAAAATTCCGTATAATGAATAAATATACAAAATACACATTTATGTCGAATTTTATTCCCTTATATGGGAGTTGTGACCAATTAGAGACCGATCCGCAAAAACATTTCGCATAATAATTTATATGTACACAAAACTAACTCAAGTTTAATTTTACACAAATAGCTTTATTAATTTATGAAATATGTGCGTTGAAGTGATTTTCGGAAGCGGACTTGGAGCTATAACCAATTACGGGCCTATCCCGAAAAAATTTCGTAGAGTGATTCACATATAGACAAAACATATTTGTGTCGAATTATATCACAATAGTTTTATTTATCAATGAAATATGTTTAAGTGATTTTCTTAAGTCGACCTTATATTGGATCTATGACCCATTGTGGACCGATGCAGATGTACGTCGGTAGTATGATTTCTATTCGTATTATGTTTATATATATAAATCGATTTCACAAGGACCCAGAATATACATACATACTTTGTAAGGTCTTAGATGAATATTGCATGGTATTGCACACGGAACGACAAACTTTTATAAACCTTCTATCACCACTGATGGTGGTGGACACGATATCTTGAATCCCTTGAGCGCGGCACAATCATTTAGAAAAGCATTGGTCTCTGGGTAAAAAATTGGTCGTCTAGTTAATTAGTTAGTTAGTTAGTAGTAGTTAGTTAGTTAGTTAGTTAGTTAGTTAGTTAGTTAGTTAGTTAGTAGTTAGTTAGTTAGTTAGTTAGTTAGTTAGGTAGTTAGTTAGTTAGTTAGTAGTTAGTTAGTTAGTTAGTTAGTAGTTAGTTAGTTAGTTAGTTAGTTAGTTAGTTAGTTAGTTAGTAGTTAGTTAGTTAGTTAGTTAGTTAGTTAGTTAGTTAGTTAGTTAGTTAGTTAGTTAGTTAGTTAGTTAGTTAGTTAGTTAGTTAGTTAGTTAGTTAGTTAGTTAGTAGTTAGTTAGTTAGTTAGTTAGTTAGTTAGTTAGTTTAGTTAGTTAGTTAGTTAGTAGTTAGTTAGTTAGTTAGTTAGTTAGTTAGTTAGTTAGTTAGTTAGTTAGTTAGTTAGTTAGTTAGTTAGTTAGTTAGTTAGTTAGTTAGTTAGTTAGTTAGTTAGTTAGTTAGTTAGTTAGTTAGTTAGTTAGTTAGTTAGTTAGTTAGTTAGTTAGTTAGTTAGTTAGTTAGTTAGTTAGTTAGTTAGTTAGTTAGTTAGTTAGTTAGTTAGTTAGTTAGTTAGTTAGTTAGTTAGTTAGTTAGTTAGTTAGTTAGTTAGTTAGTTAGTTAGTTAGTTAGTTAGTTAGTTAGTTAGTTAGTTAGTTAGTTAGTTAGTTAGTTAGTTAGTTAGTTAGTTAGTTAGTGTTAGTTGGACCGATCGGAAAAAAATTCACAGTAATATTTCTGTGCATATGTGCAATACTTGTACCAAACCTTATATGGATATCTTAATTTAGTAATGTGTTATGCGCGTTTAAGTGATTTTTGAGAGGGGACCTTGTATGGGAGCTATGACCAATTATGGACCGATCGGAAACAAATTTCACAGTAATATTTCTATGCATATGGGCAATACTTATACCTAATTTTATATGGATATCTGAATTTAGTAATGAGTTATGCGCGTTTAAGTGATTTTCGGGAGGGGACCTTGTATGGGAGCTATGATCAATTATGGACCGATCTGAAAAAAATTTCACAGCAAAATTTCTGTGCATATGAGTAATATTTGTACCAAACTTTATATGGATATCTTAATTTAGTTATGAGTTAAGCGCGTTTAAGTGATTTTCGGGAGGGGACCTTGTATGGGAGCTATGACCAATTATGGACCGATCGGAAAAAAATTTTTCAGTAATATTTCTGTGCATATAAGCAATACTTGTACAAACTTTTATATGGATATCTTACTTTAGTAATGAGTTATGTGCGTTTAAGTGATTTTCGGGAGGGGACCTTGTATGGGAGTTATCACCAATTATGGACCGATCGGAAAAAACTTTCATAGTAATATTTCTGTATATAAGAGCAATACTTGCACCAAATTTTATATGGATATCTTCATTTACTAATGAGTTATGTGGTTTTAAGTGAAATTCGGGAGGCCACCTTGTATGGGAGCTATGACCAATTATCTGATCTGATCGGAAAAAAATTTCACAGTAATATTTCTGTGCATATGGGCAATACTTATACCAAATTTTATTTGGATATCTTAATTTAGTAATGAGTTATGCGCGTTTAAGTGATTTTTGAGAGGGGACCTTGTATGGGAGCTATGACCAATTATGGACCGATCGGAAAAAAATTTCACAGTAATATTTCTATGCATATGGGCAATACTTATACCTAATTTTATATGGATATCTGAATTTAGTAATGAGTTATGCGCGTTTAAGTGATTTTCGGGAGGGGACCTTGTATGGGAGCTATGATCAATTATGGACCGATCTGAAAAAAATTTCACAGCAAAATTTCTGTGCATATGAGTAATATTTGTACCAAACTTTATATGGATATCTTAATTTAGTTATGAGTTAAGCGCGTTTAAGTGATTTTCGGGAGGGGACCTTGTATGGGAGCTATGACCAATTATGGACCGATCGGAAAAAAATTTCACAGTAATATTTCTATGCATATGGGCAATACTTATACCAAATTTTATATGGATATCTTAATATAGTACTGAGTTATGCGCGTTTAAGTGATTTTCGGGAGGTGACCTTGTATTCCCTTTTTCCGGGAATATGTACTTTTGTATGGGAGGTATATGAAATTGTGGACCGATTCTGGCAATTTTCAGCAGGGATCAAGATCTTGTGCAGAAACGAATGTATGATGATTTCTATGGAATTATCTTGCATAGTTTTCGAGAAAACTACATCAGAATGTGTAAAAAATGCTTATTTTTTTCCGAGGTTGTTTTAAATTTTGATTCATAACTTTTCCCGGTGTGAACCGATTTTGCCCATTTGCAATACCAAACAACTTAGGAAAATGAAGAACATTTTGGGTGAATTTGGTTAAGCTCTATTGCTTCGTTTTATCGTGAGCGTGTTTTACACAGACAGACGGACAGACGGACAGACGGACATAGCTAAATCGACTCAGAATTTGATAAGGACCCAGAATATATATACTTTGTTGGGTCTCAGATGAATATTTCTTGGTGTTACACACGGAATGACAAAGTTATATATACCCTCTATCACCACTGATGGTGGTGGAGGGTATAAAAATGATTTGTGCTCCATTTTATTTGAACACTCTTCAGCTCCTTTTCAAGATAAAGTGAACTTCTTATTGAAATATATTGAAACTGCACATAAAAATAAAGTGGATAAAACTGATATATGTAAAATTGAAAATTTTATAAAATCAGTTGATATAAAACTGAAGAGTGTTCGGTATTCCATTGCTAAATTTCGATCGAAATTTTCTGATTGGCTGGATGAATGTGTAGAAGTTGCTATTTGCGTATCAACTGTTGGTGCTCCCTGTAAGCAGTATGAGGATTTGAGCTCAAAATCTAAGAGGAAAAGGTTATCAACTTCACTAGAAACCTTATCTAACGAAGAAGTTTCGGACACTTTTAAAGCAATGTTAAGAAAAGAAAAACAGCCTTTGGATGCCATAAAAATTGCAAATATTCTTCCAACCGCATCACCAAGACGACTGAAAAGAATTGTAAAGAGTATACCCACACCATCATCTGATACAACGTTCACTGAGGAAGAAGCTATTGCGCTTATGTTGCAGCTGGGATTAAGTCGTGATAACTACATAACGTTAAGAAAGGCGCTATCTGAAAAAGGAGTGGATGTTTTACCATCATATGACAAAATAAATGAAAAGAAGAAAAGCATTATACCACCTCCTATTGAAATAACTGATCGGAAGGCTGTTATTGGACTCGGCGCTCTACTCGAAAATACTGCTTTAAGGATTGCTTCCGACTTTTCTTCAGACCAACTAAAAAAAATAAATTCTTGTGATCATCAACTCATTTGTAAGTGGGGATGTGATGGATTATCAGCACTCTCGGAATATAAACAAATCAACACAAGTGAATCATCTTCCGAGTATAAAAGTGTATTTATGGCATCGCTAGTTCCATTAAGAATTCGAAAGTATGCTGACAGCGATTCTCCATCAACCAGTTTCGATGATATTTGGAAGAATTCGACTCCAGGATCCAAAGCTTTTTGTAGGCCAATAAGCTTTGAGTATATAAAGGAATCCAAAACAACAACGCAAGATTTGATAAATCGTATTGAAGCAGAAATTAAAAACTTGGAACCTATAACAATCGAAATAGAAAATTATTCGTTTAACATGTCCTATGATTTAAAACTTACAATGATTGATGGGAAAGTTGGAAATGCCATTACAGGAACATCATCTACTTGGTACTGCTACATATGTGGTGATAAAAAATCAGAATTTTCGAATATTTCCAAGCAAAGATCAATAAATGAGGAAACATTACAATTTGGAATATCCCCCCTACATGCTCGCATACGATTTCTGGAACATTTTCTACATTTAGCATATGATTTAAAGTACAGAAGCATACCGGAAAATGCAAACAAAAGTGCAAATAACAATAAGGAGTTAATGGAAATGAGAGCCAGTGAGAAACGAAGAATTCAAGAGGAATTTAAAAAGCGGATGGGATTAAATATTGATAAACCACTCACAGGATATGGAAGCACAAACGATGGTAATACCGCTAGACGTTTTTTTAAACATTTTGAAACTACTTCCGAAATAACCGGAATTAGTATGGATTTACTGCAAAAGGTCAATATTATTCTAATGGCGATAAATAGCAAGCATAAAGTGAACGCAACAAAATTTGGAGAGTATTCTACAAAAGTTTCTAAATTACTTTTGGAATTATATCCCTGGAAAGAAATGACACCTACAGTTCACAAGATATTATGTCATGGAAAGGTCATCATAGAACATAATATTCTGCCTTTAGGAGAGCTTACAGAAGAACCCCAAGAATCGAGGAATAGAGACTTTAAGCATATTCATCAGTTTAGCTCAAGGAAGTGTTCTAGGCAGTCTCAAAATGAAGATATTTTTAATAATCTGATTCTATCTTCTGATCCTGTTTTATCTACTATAAGGAAACGTTGGATTTGCTACAAAACGTTAGCATTTGAAAATATTCATGAATTTAAAGATTTACTTTATCTTTTAGATATGGACTACTGTGATACCGATTATTTTACAAAATTATATTAATTTATAAAAAAAAAAAATAAATAAAGACTATTTTTATATAAAATAAATACTTGTTAATTTTTTTTAGGGATAAAGAATAAAAGATTAATCGTAAAAAGTGGCTGTAAAAATTCATAAAAATTTAGGTAGTAAAACATGCCTAACAAATGTATGGATGAAAATAATAGTACTAGGTAAATTCTCTAAAAGATGTTGAGTTTTCCCTAATTAATTTGTCACTTAAAAAACATTAGGTAGGCATGTTATATATCAATGGAAAGGTAATTTTGTCTATTTTTCAAAACTGTATATAATTTTTGAAAATTAAAAAATTCGCGGAATACTTTTTTAAAAAAAATTAAAAAATGTTTTTTATTCAGTTTTTGCGAAGATACAAATTTTTCAAATTGCAATAAAAATTTTATTTATGAATATTTTTTGATGAAATTTTACAGTTAGGTAGATTTTTTTACTCAAAATCCAAAATTAAATAAAAATTTCGAATTTTCTTATTAGAAATCCCGGAATTCCCAAAAAAGTTTTAAAAAATCCCAAAAATGGGATTTTTTGGTTTTTTGCCTATTATATCCATACCAGGGGCGGGGTTATCGAAACCCGTTACAAAATGATTAAGAACATATTGGGTCATATAAAACAGGTCACTATAATTTGATATCGACTATGCGATTTGAGAATTTTTGCTCAAAATTGAATTTTATATAAAAAATAGGGTTTTTTTGGATGGATCTGGTCCCCTCGGTATCAAAAATTTTTAGGTTTTGTTTCATTTATCGTATTTTATGTAAAGTCAGCTTTTCAAAAAGTATAAATTCTATATACATCTTCTTAGAAACTTTTTAGATAACTTAAAAAGAAAAAGATACTTTTTTCCCCAAAAAATGGCAAAAAATCGCCTTTTTTTAATTTTTTAAATTAAAATGCCTATAACTTTGGACTCAGTCATGATTTTTACATAATTCTTTCACTGCTTGATATATAGACTTGTTGTTAAGCGAATAAAAAAAAAAATGGCGAAAATCGGGAATATTTGGACCCGCTATTATCAAAAAACTAAAGTAAGGACGGTAAAAATTTTAAAATTTTAATTTTCAAATGCGAATATCTCCTAAACTATAAGAGATAATTTACTGCTACGACGACATTTTTTATAGTGCTCGATGAGAAGATTCTATATACGAAATTTTTTTTAAATCGGAACTCAAATGAAGAAATAAGATCGTTTTAAAAATTTAACATAGCCGAGGTGTCCTAATTTGAGGACCCCCCGCCGGGCCCCTGGTTGGCCTATAAGGTCCAAATTCAAAACCTAAACTCGACAACACCTCCTTTTTGTGCATACCAAATTTCATTAAAATCGGATTAACTGTTTAGAAGTTACCGAATTATTTCCCTCTTTTTTTTTTTCCTATACCACTGTGCGACATTCGTCTCTTTCTTTAAGGGATCAGGATGGGTGAAACTATTTTTAAATTCTTTATGTTTTTCTCAATTTCAGTGGCAAAATCGTACCAAAAGTATTGTATACTTAATATATCGTTGGTTTCTGGCTTTATTCTTTACTGCTGTTGTCATTGAGTCTATGATAGATCCAGATCCAGATGAGAATCCCAATTTTTGGTTATATTTTATATACATGACAAATTGGGGCATCATGCTGTGCATGATTACAAACGTATATGCAGCGATACTGGTAACAATTTGGCATTTTCATCCAGAATATGCGGGTGAGTAAGATGAGATTGAATACCTAGTAGTTGAAAGAGTAAGAATTAAAATGGGAAATTCTCTTTTAGACAAACTTTTAAATCTGGAATCATTGAAAAGTCCTTTTCGCATCTATTGGGGCATACATATAACAACATTGGTGGTATCAATTGTAATAACAATTATCTATTGGAGCATTTTATATGATGGTGGGTATAGGAGATACATTACTTTAAATGGTATTAATAAAATTAAGAAATTTATTTTCAAATTTCAGCTAACGAAAGTACTTTGAGTGCTACAAACATTTTAACACATGCCTTCAATTCGATTTGTATGTTTATCGATCTGCTGATAGTTGCTCATCCTTTAAGACTTTTACATATGTTTCTGCCGGTATGTTTTGGCCTATTCTATGCTTTCTTCTCTGTCATTTATCAATTATGTGGAGGTCATAACCGGTAAGTGACAAGTAGCCAAAACAAATCATTGTTTTGTCATTTTAACTGAAATACAAAATTTGTTTGTGTCTATATTTTGATTACAATTTTATTTTTGTTTTATTTTATTTTTTTTTTTTTTGTTGGAATTTTTATAGAAAGGGAAAGCCTTACATTTATCATGTGATTGATTGGAATAAACCTGTTAATTCCACGTTAACTGTGGTGGGTGTTATACTGCTCTGCTGTTGTGTTTACATGGCCTTATTTACGATTTACAAATTAAGGACACTACTCTATCGACGTCTCAACAATGCCACCTTCATCTTACCCACCACAGCACCACCACCGATTACGAAAAAACACATTGGCACCGGCATCAAACACACATCGCCTGGCATTTCTATGGTATTGGGCAATTTTGAGGGCCATACGAATCCTGCTTTTTCAAAGAGTTCGGAAAATATTACCAAAAATTAAGTTTAAAGAAAAAGAACTTAAGAAAAATTTTTTTAAGGAATTTTATAGCTTTCAATGTAAAATTAGTTACAAAATTTAGTCAAATCAGATCTATTTGGGGAATGGGAGGATAATTCAGATTTTGGGGGAATTCCATAAAATCAAGGTCTTTCAAGTGTCAACCAGCCGATACAAAATGATCGGCGGCGGCGGCGCAACCATTTTAGGTCGGCGACGAAAATATCGGCGGCGGCTAAATTGTCGGCTCAATTTTACTTTTTCTTCAGAAATTGACCTTAAAAGCGTTTATTATATTGAAAAATCTCTGTATAATAGTCTGTTATATAGAAACCTGTCTCTATATAAGTTTTTTTTCTGCAGAAAATGGACATTTTTATAGTAGTTATCACTATTTTAATATTAGCATAATATTGTGTGGCAACTCTTTTGAATTTGCCATAAGAATTTGAAATAGTGGCAACTCTGTTCAAATTGGTGAAATTATTTTCTGAAAGACATGTGCGATTCCAATCTTTATCAGCGGCTACGTTTAAGCCGACTTAGACCTGGTCCACACTAGGAAACTTTTGTTGAGAAACTGTTTCTTAATTCTCTTTTGAAGTTTCCTTAATGTCCACACATAGAAACATTTGTTTCAGAAACTACGTATTAATTGTATTGATTTGTTGTTGTACGAATGAGAAGAATAACAAAACAAGTTTCCGAGTACGAGAAACTCCGTACCGCGAGAGAGATGAATGATATTCTTTCTCTTTCTCTCACACGCAAAATCAAAAGTTTCCCAAAAAAAGTTTCCTAGTGTGGACCGGCAGTTAGCCTTTGAGCCGAAAGAAGTCGGCGGCGGCGCGGCTTGCCAAATATTACCGGCGGCCAGTCGCCGCCTTGAGCCGTCTCGGCTTGTATCTCTGGTGTCAACTGATTCTTTTTACATCAGTGTATCTTATTGAAGTTATATATGTCAGTTTTTTTCAAGAACCTGTCATTTCGTATTAAACATTCTCCAAATAGATCTATTCATATTTGCATCTGTATATATGTATGTATTTAATAGCTTAATTAATAAGTATTTTTTCGAATTTTTTTCAAGTACAATAAATTAAAACTTAATTAAATGTTAATTTTAATTATTATTTCTACTTTAATAGTTTTATTAGTGCATTTGAATTTTAAATATTGTAAATTTAAAATTTTAATATGTATCGTTTTTTTTTGTATTTACGCGAGTACAAGTATTTAGTTTTAGACTCAGGGGAAAATATTGATATATATGTATATAAAAAAAATTGTTAAATTTTATTATAAATAAGTGTAAATTTATCAAACATTAAGATTAATTATTGTATTAATGTATAGCGTACTTGTATTAGAAACTATAAATAAAGTATTTAGTAAATAGATTTTTTTCAATATTTTTATTTGAAATTATTAATCTGGAACTGGAAATTAAACTTGGTAAAACTTGGATAAGTTGGTAAAATTTGGGAGTTCCAAAACGAAACTTAATATCTTGATATAACATTAGCTAGCTAGTTTTAACCAAGTCCTAATTAGATGAGGAAAACTAATTAAGTTATCTCCGCGGATTGGATCGGTAGCTATTGTCTTCCATAATCTGTTGTAGGCTGACAGATAGACAAGGTCTAGTAGTTCGACATCTAAGAATCTAGTTGGCTTTAATTCGCCTTTCGTTACGGATGAACTGTACATAAACGAAAGTAAAGACAGTCGTGACTTTAGTATCCCCTTTAAGGCAGTCGTCACTTTACTGTAATCAAGTAATCTATAGAGGAGACACTTAAAAAACAAACATAAAAGAAAAGGTTCATCACAATGCCTTGACACCTTTGTAATCTATAGAGTGATGAATTCCTCCAAGCAGATTTTAGTCAAATGGTTATGTTAAATAGCTAATTCAAGACAGTTCCCGGAACCGTTGTGCTGTTTTTTAGGATCCGTTGCATTTTGATATCTAAATAAATCAAGGAAGAACTGTAAACCTGCTCTTAAACTCAATTTATCTAATAACGAATGAAAATATATCAAAACATGGATTAAAGGTCACTATTATGTTGCCCATAACTTGCAGCAGGTGTCGCAAGCAGAAATCGAAAATTCTATCTGGAAACGTCAACTACTTTTCTCGCTTAGGTCAGATAATGTTTTGTTTAAAAATATGGGTCCCAGTGCGTGAGTACATCTGTCAGAAAGAAATTGTTAAAGAATTCGTGAGGTTCTTCGATAAACATTTAGCTATCCGGGACGAAACAATCAAACGATACGGTCGTAAGCAGAATTCGAAAATTGTATCTGGAAACGTTGACTACTATTCTCGCCTAGGTCAGAATAAATATGAATTGTTAAAGAATTCGTGAGGTTCTTCAATAAAGATTTGACACAAAATAATACTATTCTCTGGTCGTCTTTCAAAAGTGAACTGATTTATCTTTCCAGTCTTTACAGCAAATGAATGTCACTACTTTTACCTTTTTAAATTCCTGGGAAATATGTACTGATTCCAGGCTATACATGATTACTGAAGCTGAAAATAACTTATCCGGACTAGGAGATTTAAAGGCCTCGAAAGGAAATACTGCAATAGCTACTAAGTCGCCGCTAGGTGGTCTCAATTACAACCCTTATATTTAACATCCCTACAAACTATAAAGTCTGTATTCATCAGATGTTCCAGAGTTTCGGCACTACTTTCTGTTTCATTAGAGAATCCTGGTGTACCGGGTCTTTTGAAAACTATCTTTCGACATGTGATGCCTTCGATTCATTTTCTAAATCAAGAGAACTGTTCTCTTGATTCTCTCGCAGCCCCTTTGGTTTCCCATTTGAAAATGTCGATATTGTGACGATAATTATCCCATTATGTCCGTATTATTGGCAGCGTGTTTCTGATTGGAAGAAACAATTTCTATCCTTGTGTTGGGTTAAAGTTCACCAACTCTTTGAAACAGTTTTTACAAAAGGCCACATCTTGACACCCTTTAACCATTTTCCCTCATCGAATGCAGCAAGGTCCGAATAACTATGACCAGCTACTGGTAGTGCAGGAGCTGATTTCAAGCTGGCCGATTATTGCAATAGCTTACTTACTGTGCGCTTACTTACCGCTTTATTCTACATCGTGTCATTATTTTATACTCATACTCTCGTATGCGATAGGCATGACTTCGTCTCAGAGTTTTAACTCTGGCAATCAATGCCGGATCTCCAGCAATATATTTCTCCAGACACCGAAGAGAGCTCAAGTAAATAAACATTCTTTTTCGTTTAAAACTCTGTACTAGGTAAATTCTGTCCAAAGGCCCCCGTATTGGGATTGGGATTTTTCACATTGAGCGTCTAAGAGGTCTCTGGCAACTTCTCTTCGGACTTGCATAGGCCTAATACTTGCATACCTTTGCATATTGACCTCAGAAGTTCTAAATCGCATACCAGGTTCAAAAAAATGTTGGAAAATTAGGAGACATAAGATTCAGTACCTGGGAGAATCTATTTTTGCAAGGACGTTCCTGTTATTATGAAATAAATAAAATGTATTGGAATGGATCCAAAATACACTCGTGGATTGTCGGTATTGACACAACTTATGTATACGTTATTACGAGAAGGGATTTTTAGGAGGTCAATATCAAATTATACAACATTTGGAGTCAATGAGAACAGTGTAAGAGGCATGGGGGAGAGAAATACTCACAGCCTGTTGGAGTAATGAAATGTAAGTTTGGATTACAACTTAACCAAAAGAAGCCACCTCAAGATCAGTAGATCTATGTTTAGTAAGATGGAACGTATTCTCATGGGACATATATCTAGGACTAACCGCACAACCATACCAAATGTATCGAAGACAAGTAAGAGTGTTATATTCGGCTATGCCGAATCTTATATACCCACCATCAAACCTCGTTTGTCTCGAATGAAACTTATTTATGTCGAATTTCATCTATATACTCGTATATTTAGGCCAGTTATATACGTTAAAGTAATTTTCTGAAGGGGACCTTATATAGGGGGGTAGGGTCAATTATGGGTCGATCCTCATAAAATTTGGTAGACAGAATTTGGTTCGTATTAAATTTATTTGTGTCGAATTTCATCGCTACACTCGTATTTTTAAACCATTAATGAGCGTTACAGTCATTTTCTAAAGAGGACCTTATATGGGGGGTAGGGTCAATCATGGACCGATCCTCATAAAATTTTTTAGATAGATTTAGACTCGTATGAAACTTACTTATGTCGAATTTCATCTATATACTAGTATTTTTAAGCCAGTAATGAGTGTTAAAGTCATTTTCTGAAGGGGACCTTATATGAGGGGTAGGGTCAATTATGGACCGATCCTCATAAAATTTTGCATATTGATTTTGGATCATAAGAAATTTCATCGCTATATTCGTATTTTTAAACAAATTATGGCTGTTAAAGCTGCTTTCGAGGGGCCACTTATATGGGGGCTATCCGAAAACGTGGACCGATATTGCCCATTTTCAATACCAAACAAACCTTACCTATAAGAAATATGTGAAATTTCAACCCTCTAGCTCTTTCCATTCGGACTCTATCGTGCTTTCAACAGACAGACAGACGGACAGACGGACAGACATGGCTAGATCGTCTTAGAATTTAATGAGGACCCAGAATATATATACTTTTGTGGGTCTATGACCAATATTTCGATGTGTTACAAACGGAATGACAAAACCCATCTTTTTTGATGGTGAGTATAAAAATCTGACATAATCTCCAGATCATGCGAAATGGAGAGCTATGATTCGAGTAGATCTTTGCGATCAATAAGACGCAAAAGTCTTATAAATTACTTTCCGAAAACTATTCCGATTCCAGAGGTTGAACCTGAATCTGTGTTTAGAATTTCTACGTCGCATCCAAATTTTTGTATTATCGAAAACGTCTCAAATATGGCAAATTATCCAATTTTAGAACCACAGTTTAGAACGTTATCCCTGATATTGGTGGTAACATCTTTCCTGATCATTTCTTATGACATTTCCTTAATCTGACTGTTGATTCCCATCCTGAATCTGACTGATAATAACCTCTACAAATTCCGATAGACTCATACTTTCTAATAAGAATTTTAAAATGTCCATTCTTTTGTGGATCATTGTAAAATGATTGTCAACCTTATAACGATGCCTTTACATGCCTTCATTTTTGTTTTAGTCAAGGTCTTAATTAATTATTGATTAACAATTGATTAAATCATGGTAAATAAAAACGTTTAACTAATTCTTGTATTTGTTTAAAAAAAAAACTTCGACAATGAAACAACAAAAACAGAGCCAACAACAAATAGTGACATCTATCCAACCAACCTATTTTTAACACCATGTCTATGAAAATAATATGACGATGAAAATCACTACTAACAGTAGAATAGAGCTAAAATGAAAAGAAAATTTAGTAAAAAATGTAAAAAAATCAATTTAGCTTAGAGGCATGCATGTCTCAGGAGTACTAGAGTCTACTGTCTATATGGCCAATAAGTCAAATAAACTGTTAATATAAAGCATGGGTTCCGATTTTAAAGTAAGTATCATCCAAGATACTAGTTTTCTGTCTATGAAAGTAGTGACAGTAATAAACTCCTATATCGTTTCTATTCTCATATTACATTCATGCATACTCATCTATTCGTTAAAGTTGTATTCTCCTGTTATAATAAATACGAAGCCAAATGAATTTTGAATATTCTTGCAACACCTTAATAACGAATGAGTTGACTTAAAGGAACTTTATTTTTTCTTAAAAAATAATAGTGTTGAAGGACTTATTAAAACTTAATTCATATTCCATTGAATGACGGACGGATTTTTGTAGTAATCAGAAATTTAAATGTTTTAGGATGATGTATGTCAGTTGACCTCTTTTAAAGATTTTCAACATTTGGGTTAACTATCTACTATATATTATTTGTTTGGATTTTAATTTAATCACGTCATAGACCAATAAAATTTTTAGAATTTTTTCTATATAAACTTTCCAAAGGTAAATGTCCTTTTGTGTGTGACTAATGGAGTAACCTTTAACTAATATCTTAGTTTTAATAGACGTCATTATAAACAGATGTTTTTAGATCTGCTATTTTAAACTTTAGTTCATATCTCTGGAACTATTAGAGATATACATAGCAACGAAATTTCATATGATTGTTTTCAAGATGATTGACAGTTGTAGGTGATCGTGGGTGTAATGGGGCGATATTTAAAATATAACTACTCCTTGAGAAGATCTACAAAAAAATACAAACTCTCTAACAGAATACTCTCCTGACACACATCATAAGGGTATCAGGCTACTCGCAAGTAGTCCGTAACGAAGGAGCGAGAGTAATAGCTTTAAAGGGAGGATAGTAAGAGGT